CCTTAAAAGGAAGCACACCTGATAGAAGGCACCTGCCAGCCTAATCAGCTGTAAGCAGGAGGTGCAGCAGGGCCGTCACAAGAGGCATGGAAATTTCTCTTTTTTGTATCAAAAAAATATCGAACCATGAGACTAAAGTATCGAACCGAAACAAACCGAACCGTGAATTTTCTGTATCATTGCACCCCTAATATATATATAATACTTAAAAAGGAGCAGATACTGTATCAAATGATTTTTTTCTTCTTCTGCTGCCTTTCATTTTATTTGATTTGTATTGTTTTATTGTACATGTTTTGTTTATTTGTTTAATGAAATGAATAAAATAAAATAAAATTTAAAACAGTATACATTTGGTTTGTATACCTAAATTTTATTTTCTCCTATTGGATTTTTTTATTTGTTCCTTTTGTAACACTGAACTCTATGTTTTTTTTTTCCTACGCCATAGGTGAGGAGGTGAAAAACCCACAAAGAGCCATTCCTATTGGCATCGTGTCCTCGCTGCTCATTTGCTTCGTAGCCTACTTCGGTGTTTCTGCCGCCCTCACCCTCATGATGCCGTACTATCTTCTGGACAGCAACAGCCCCCTGCCAGTAGCTTTTAAGTATGTGGGCTGGGGTGGAGCCAAATACGCAGTAGCTGTGGGCTCTCTTTGTGCTCTGTCCACCAGGTAAGCACTTTAAACGTGGCCTGCTCTGCCAGGCCTGTTCACACTCTTGCTTTAGCTTTTCTTTTTTTTTTAACAGATGCATGTCAGTCCCAAGAAGTTCTAGCAGTTTATAGTGCATAACTTTGAGCAAAATTATTCTCCCATTCATGTGAATATCTGCGCACACATGTGGAAAAAGGCTTCAGAGAAACATGAAAACATTCATGTGCAGACATGTACAGACTGACTGTGTGTCTGCACTGAACAGTTTGTTTCTCTGTGTGTAAATGTAAAACAAGAAGGCATTTGACCCCAGGTCTAAAAATAGCAGCTCTACTCAGAAAATGATTTAGGATATCAGTCAATGTGCGTGATTATGTAACACAGGCTTCTAAAGTAAGAGCTTTATTAGTATACCATTTTCATCATTTTAAAGTTGTTTTAATAAGTTTTTTTGCACTTTTTTTTGCTTTGATGAAAAAAAAACTTGCCCGTCATATTTGTGCAGTCTAAGTCAGGCTAGTGGTTTTGAATTGAATAGCTGTGGTTTAACATGCATGTTGTGTTATGCTCATTGAGCAATAAGTATATGACAGAGCTGTGCAAAAGTTTCAAGCCATCTGTTTTATTTTTTTATTTTCTTCTATGTAATTTTTCAAATGTATCGTAATTTATTTATTTATTTATTTAACTTTCTGAAASCCCTTTCAAGGTTATTGCTGAACATGAGCTGGTTTTACGGTAACTTTTAGACAACAGAGAGAAAACCAAATATAAAGTGTATCCTTACGTATTTTATTTCCAGCAAACTGTCACAAAGAGACYGAACTGAAGTGGCAAAGTGGAAAAACAACAACACCCTATTGAGTAGATGGATAGCAAATTAAAGAAGAAAGTAAAAACAACATATGCAAAGTTGTGACATGACCTAACAGATGCAGCTTATATTTCTACTGTATGTTTTGTTTGTTTTCAGCTAATAGTTTGGTGCCAAAATACTCTGTTAGGGTAAACTTTCCAACTCCAAACCTGTACTTTCGAAACCAGGCACCCATCTCTCCACAATTCCCCCCTTTGGGATCTTTTCCATAACCACCACAAACAAGACTGATGACAAAGAGCAAGGAAGCATGAATCCTTTGGATGCAAAATAAAAATGAAATAAGGCTTATGACTTTTGCACAGCACTGTATGTTCTATGTTACTTGCTCCGTTTACTTTGTGCTGTTTCTTTTGTATGTGAGCTCTTGTCTCTGTTAATGTGTCTCACGGCATTCTCTTGGGTGTAAGTGTGGATACTATATATCCTGGTCTCCCCCCATGGCAGCCTGCTGGGTGCTATGTTCCCTATTCCTCGTGTTCTGTGGGCTATGGCTGAAGACGGGCTGCTTTTCAAGTTCATGGCCGAGATCAGCCCGCGCACCAAAACCCCGCTAAACGCAACCTTCGCCTCTGGCGCAGGGGCAGGTGAGACGCTAACACGCATGTCTTTAAACAGCATCCATGTTCACTGTAGCCTCTTTTTAATGCTTCAGAACTAAGATGTGCTTGGCTTGATGATTTAGCCTGCCTGCCTTAGGTTTTACTGCAACAGACTTGTTGCAGTAAAAAACCTGCTCAGGGAAATCAGCTGCCTAAGCATGAAAAGGGCACGGGTTTCTCCAAATAGCACTTTTTCTTCTATTAGGAAACTTCAAGGCATGTTTTCCACATGCACCCTGGAGCACAGTTTAAATAACAAAATAAATGTACATAATATGGCGAGTAACACTACACAGAGCATCATGCATCYTAACATTGGACCCTGGATCAGCATCATGTCCTTCTTGCTCTACGTTTCTTCCACTCTGCTATCCTGTTGCACATTTGTCTTCCTTCAATCTGCATTTCACACTTTGCCCTTCCTCTTTCTCTACTTTTCCCTGCCCTCAATCCCGTCTTTCCTCTTGTGACGCTAATCTTTCCCTACAACTTCCATCCAAATTTGACGTTTTCATCCCCACTCTACCCCAGTCTGTTGGGTTCCATGTTCCCCCTACCCCGTATCATCTTTGCGATGGCACGAGATGGCCTGCTCTTCTCCTTTTTGGCACACGTCAGCGAGAGGAAAGCCCCAGTAACCTCCACTGTCGCTGCTGGGGTCATGTCTGGTAAGAGAAAGAGGGAAGCTGAAATCAAGAGGGATTAAAAAAAAGAGATTTGTATTCGAGGAAAGGATAATTCACAGGACCAGGTCATAAAATTGAAAAATAAAAGGTATGGGATGATGGGGGGGAAAGATTAACAAAAAGAAACGAATGCACCTCAACAATTAGTTTTAATTTCKCATCAGAAAGCAGCAGATAAAAAGCAAAAGTTCTGGTATAGTTCAGATTTTCTGAAGTGAGCTTCTTAGAAGTAGTTAGTATCTTACTTGTAGACATCAGTTAAAGCTATTTCAGTTTGAAGAACCAGAGTTTTCCCTTGGGTCAAACTAACAAATTTCTGTCATCTAAAACAAACCTCCTAAGTTTTTAGTTAATCAAGCTATATTTTTATTTTTTCCCCAATGACTTCCGAATACGACGTTCTGTTTTGCAACACATTCCAACATAACTAGTTCTAAGTGTAAATTATCACAAATGTCTTTGTGATTGACTAATGCACAACGAACTCAGCACACACATTTACAAACGGAGCAATCACTTTAACTGCCTGAATATAGTTGAAGTTTGTGTTGCTCTCTAAATCACTCTGGCTGATGTCTACTGCAGGTAAGACASTGGCTCTTCATAATTACTCTACTAAAACACACTTCAAAAGGTTCAAACTTCCCCTTTAAAGCTTGGATGTAAACTTTAAAAAGTAAAACGAATAATACCTTATTTTCCTATAAAACTTGCAGTAAACATAGCTAATAATTTAAAGTGTTTTTACAACTTGAACCAGTTGTCTTTCTTATTTATTATATTGTAATGATTATTAGGACATTTATGCAGTTCACAAAATGCGTATAGACATGTTTGCAGGCTTAGTACACAATCACTTCGACAGTGTTAGCATGGATGTTTATCTGCACTACTTTTAAATCACATTCTTAACACAGAGGTTCTCTTTAAAGCTACCATTCTTATCTTTTTATTTATTTTCCTCCTCTTTAGCAATCATGGCATTTCTGTTTGACCTGAAGGACCTGGTGGACCTGATGTCTATAGGTACCCTGCTGGCCTATACATTAGTAGCAGCCTGCGTACTGGTGCTCAGGTTAGTTTAACATGAGGTTTTGAGTCGCCTATACTGTTTTGTGAATGGATTTTAGTGAGAAATGTCACTAGTTAGTTTATTTTCATTGTGAGGAATAAATAAAAATAATACTGAAACTATTTTTGTTATAGATACCAGCCCGAGCACCCCAGCCCGGTGTACCACATGGCCAACATCCACGAAGAGCCAGATTTGGTTGATGGCATCAGTGTCCCCAGTATGGGTATCCTGCCTGGAGTGGAGGAGAGGTTCAGCTTCGTGACTCTGCTGTTCCCAAACAACCCTGAGCCATCCACATTGTCAGGCTTCAATGTCAATGTTTGYACCTCTGTCTTGGGTAAGTTTTCATACCAGCTTTTTTATTTTACTTATGAATAAGATACACATATATACATTTTTTTTACACGTAACCAATATGAATTATATTAGGATGTAAAACTACTCGTGAGCTAAGCAACTTTAAGTACTGTCTATAAGTTATTACCAATCTTCTAATTTTATGGGTTTTTTTCTAGCTGCTGAAACTGTTATGAATCAAACAGATGACCTGAAAATTCAGCCAGACACTAAGCGCGATATACTAAAAAATATTAGAAATCTGCAGCTGGTGGGAGTTAGAAAAAYGTCACAGTTTCTCAGAGGAAAGGAAAAACTGGTTAGTGGCTGTCCAAGGGGCAGGAAAATAATAACGTTCAAAAGTGAAACCTCTAACCTTCTCAGAAAAAAGTCACTTTGTCCGTATTGTWGTGCATTGTACAGMMCTTTGTTCCTTTGGAGTTTTAAAGGGCTTTATAAATAAATTGAATTGGCTTGGATCTGGATGAGTGCAGTGGAGATGATGATGTCACAGACAGTGGAGTGAAAGCAAAGTTTAGAATTGCAGCGCCCACTGATCATTCAGGATTTATCCAAAATTCAAAGGGTTAAGTCAGGGGCAGGCGGGAGTCGTGAACCAGGAGACACAGATCAACAACTTATTCAGAAGATGGACAATAATAAATAAATGGCAGGAGAGGCAGGAAATCAGCACAAAACAACAAAAAACCCAAGATGGGAAGCTAAATGCTAAACTTAGTCCTTTGCAATAAAGCAAACCACACCAAAGTTTAATGACCTCATTTTTGTCCTTTCTCTATGTCACCAAGTTTCAAGAAAAACATTTTGTATCACTGTATACAGACAAACAAATTGTACATTTTTTTTTACCATTGGCTCTCATCTTTGTGAAGCAATGACTAATATGGATGGGGCTAATTTTTAAGGCCAATAAAAAGAAGTCAAGATTCTTTGTTTACCATGAATTTAATTGGCTGAAAATTTAGCAAGTTGATCAAAAATGTTTCTGTCAAACCTTTAAAGAGTAACTTACCCCAAAATTAACTTTTTTTAGCTGATAAACTGTCTAGAATGTGTCTAAAATGTTATAT